TGATTTGATGCCTTTACCATCTTTTGAAAAACTGAATTTTGATGCTAAGCAACGTGCTGAGTTGATGTTAAAACTGCATGAGACAACTAAAGAAAACATAGAGCGCATGAATGCTAAGTATAAGTTTGCTGGTGACAAAGGTAGAAGGGAATTGAATTTTGAACCTGGAGATTTGGTTTGGTTGCATTTGCGAAAAGAACGATTTCCTGATATGAGAAAGTCTAAATTGATGCCTAGAGCTGATGGACCATTTAAAGTGTTAGCAAAGATTAATGAGAATGCATATAAGCTTGATTTGCCTGCAGATTTCGGGGTTAGTCCCACATTTAACGTTACAGATTTGAAGCCGTATTTGGGAGAAGATGATGAGCTTGAGTCGAGGACGACTCAAATGCAAGAAGGAGAGGATGATGAGGACATAAACACCATCAATACATCCACGTCCCCCCAAGTACAGCATGATGGTCCTATTACCCATGCTCGTGCACGCCAACTAAATTATCAGGTGAGTTCTTTCTTGAGTTCATATTCCTCTTCTTTATACCCCGGAGACGCGTGCACTCGTGTTTTACTCAGGAACAATGGAGAGGATTCAAAGGGGAGAGGATTCGCGCGGGGTGGATTCGGACTGCAGGGCAGCGCCAATTTCTGACGGCCGCCACGACTTCATGCGAACTCCGATTTGGGCGTGCAAGTACTTCATGGAAAGCTTATCAAGTCTACTTTCAAATGGATCTAGCCACATGTCCATATCTGTTCTGGAGCGGCCGCAATTGTCATTTTACTCCCGACTGTTTTCTGTCCATGGTGCTGCGTCACCTCTTTTGGCCCAATGGGCTGTGTATCCAAGTTGGGCCCATTAGGGGCGCGTCCTAGGGTTGGAGCACGACCCTATGGTCGTTCTTTCCCTCTTCTTATACCTCTAGTTGCTGCCAAGAACACTCGGGTTTTGATGATAGAGATAGCTACTTGCTACCTGCTCGCAGCGCGCGTGTTGGCTAAACTGCCTCGTCCTCCTTCTCCTCCACAAGAGTGAAGCCTTTTTGGTCCTTGATGCCAAAAGGGGGAGAAGAATTCTAGCTTGCTTTTTTATTTTGTGGGATGGGACTAGGAGTAGTGAGGTTAGCTACCTCCTATCTAGTAGGTTAAGGTGTTTGGTCTATATTATGTATGGATATGGGCTATTACTCTATCTTGTGTGTTCTTTTTCGTTTTGTTGAACTCTATGTCATTTGGACCCTTCGTGGTCATGTAATAGCCTAGATCATTATTTGTGAGCCCTCTTTGGACAAATTTGTGAGTTGGATGATATATGGATAAACTTCTATAATTTGGATTGTTATTGTTGTGAACTTGTGCTATGATAGATGGTTGATGTGATATTGATATATTTGTGACCATCTTATGCAATTGGTTGATCCAAATGTGAAGTTCACATTGTATGTTTCATATGTGTTTGTGCTATGTTGAAATGTGAATGAAAGTGCATTTGTTCCATATTTGTTATTTGTGATTGATATTCACATGTTTAGGGGGAGCATTTTCATTTCATTGCAAAATGTCCATGTGTTTTATGTTTGATTATATATATTTATGGTGTTTGTCATCAATTACCAAAAAGGGGGAGATTGAAGCATCTAGGCCCTCGTTGTTAATTTTGGTAATTAATGACAAGCGCTAATTGTGGACTAACCGTTTCTCTTTAAGTTATATATTTTGTGTTAGTACCACGTCATATGTGCACATGGATGATTATCAATGGATTAAAATTTGTTGGCGCGAAGCGAAGAAAAGAAGATGGTAAAACTAGTGCTTTAGTTTTAAATTGATCGAGGTGTAGGGCGATCAAATTTGCTAGTTTATTTTTAGCTTCGCCGTACTATTAAGAGGGGTAATGACCTAGCAAATAGATGATTTTAATTGCCACATTAGGTAATTATGCATTTAGACTTGTGCTCACATTTCACAACACACACATTCTATTCACTGTGTTCAGCCTTACCAGGGCCGGTCTAACCGCGTGCGCTAAGCCGGTCTGACCGGCCAGCTTGTGGTGGTCTGACCGGCATGAATGTCGGTCTGACCGGCGGCACTTGTGCTGTCTGACCGGCCCCCTGGTGGCCGGGATGGTGCGTTCTGGGATGCCCGATACAGAGCTGCCGGAGCCGTATTCGGTCAGACCGAGATATGGGCGGTCTGACCGACCACTCAACATCAGTCTGACCGGCCAGGCCGATGGGGCCCTCTGATAGAGCTGCAACGGCTATAAAACTAACCGTTGTAGAGTAGCACGGTCTGATTGGCCACATACCACCGGTTAGACCGGCAGTACACTGAGTTGGGGGATTTCGCCCCCAACGGCTAGTTTTGGTTGGTGGGAGTATAAATACTCCTCCACTAGCACCAAGGGGAGTCTCTTGGCACCCACTTCAATTGCATACACCCCTTGCATCTCTCACACACCCACTGGAGCTTTGTGTTCATCCATCTAATGTGTTTGAGGGTTGATTTAGCCAAGAGTCAAGTGCATTGCTTTCCATTGTAGAGCTAGTGTGGCACTTTATCATCTCCGAGCCGGGTCATCGCTTGTTACTCTTGAAGGTTGCCGCCTCCTAGATGGCTTGTGGAGAAGTTGCCCGGTGACCTCTCCGAGAAGATTGTGGAGGAGGCCCGGCGCCGGTTGTGAGTGGTTTGGAGTTCACCACCTTCGGAGTGAAGGAAGAACTACCCCAAGTGATCGAGGCCTGGGTAGTCCTCTCCGTGGGCTGGCTCCCGCCTTGCCCACCCCTTGACGAAGGGGGCGTGCGGTGGTTTCATGGTTGAGCGGTGGAGTTGGGCACGCTTCAACAGGGAGTAGGAAACCGGCGAGTTTCCGAACCTCGGTGAAAAATTCCTTGTCTCATTGTCTGTTTTATTTGTCGCATTTACATTTGTGCAATTTACATTTGTGCAATTTACATTCCTAGAGATATACTTGAGATCATTTCACCCTAGGATTGCTAAACTAGACTTAGGAATTGTGATTTACTTTCCTAGTGATATACTTGAGCCACTTTCACCCTAGGATTGCAAAATATAACTTAGTTGCTTAGTTAGACTTGTCCCTCACCGAGCCTAGCAACTTAGGTTAGTTTTGATTAGGTGTCATTTAATTTTAAATCGTCTATTCACCCCCCTCTAGTCGACATCTCGATCCTACAACAGTTTATATGGAAATCGCGAGATGAATCTTTTGAGCCTAATTAGTCCATGATTACCCATAAGTGCTACAGTAACCCACATGTGCTAATGACGGATTAATTAGGCTCAAAAGAACCGTCTCGCGGTTTACAAGCGAGTTATGAAATAAGTTTTTTCATTCGTGTCCGAAAACCCCTTCCGACATCCGGTCAAACGTCCGATGTGACACCAAAAAATTTTCTTTTCGCGAACTAAACAAGGCTATACTCCCTAGCCCTCAAGGGTTGTCCAAAAATATAACAATTTCTTCATCAACATTCTCTTCCTAATCAATCATAACCCTTCACCATTCAAATTTCTTACCTACATCCACTTTTCTACCAATCACAACCTTCTCTCATTTAATTCTACCCACTTTCTTAATACCCATGTCCAATCCTAAAAATTTTTATATTTTAGGACGGAGGCAGCACTAAGCACGTAAAACGAAGCAACATTTAGCGTGTGATTAATTAAGTATTAGCTATTTTTTTTTCAAAAATAGATAAATATGATTCTTTAAGCAACTTTCGTATAGAAACTTTTTGTAAAAAACACACCATTTAGCAGTTTGAAAAGCGTGTGCGTGAAAAATGAGGAGGGGGAGTTGGGAACAACTGGGACGCAGAGCAGGTACAATAGCAGAGTAATAGCCAACTGATGAACCCTGAGCTCCACTCGAGACTCAAGGCTGTTCTTTGGCCCGATCTTTCGGTGAGTTGATGATAACTACGATTTGGGAGAAGCGTTGACGACCCGACTACAACCGTACAAGACGTTGTTGTGTTGCGCCTTAGCGATCGATACACCTCTCCGTGGGTTGTTGATCTTGCCGGTGCAGATCAACCTTATTCCTGCAAGCAAATCGAAGAAACAAGCAAGAACAAGATAAAAGCAATCTGAATTGTAGATAGGAATTGAATACAAATGATAGGTTGTGGTTCCGTCACGAGTAAACTGGCGATCAAACCGATCACGGGATTACACAGCAAAGTAGCAAAGCTAAATTTTAATCTAAACAAAACCCAAGAAAATCTAGAGTGGTACCTAACTATTTAAGGAGGTGGGAGGACCTCTAGGCCTTCCTCCACCTAGTTGGGACGCACCCCACATGGGCCCTACATGGGCCGGGGTCCCAAACATAGTTACAAGCCCAAAGGCCCATGACAGGTGATGCAGCATCTTGTTTCTTCATCTGCGGTTGACTAGGATGGAATTTGGTGATGAGGCTGGATCCGTTGGAAAGAGGACTCCAAGAGCTTTCCATCAAGTACTCACGGGCCGAAAACGGAGCTCGTATGCAGATTCGGCGGCCGTTTGAAATCAGCAGTGTAGCAAGTGGCCGAATCGGATTCTAGCACTTAGAGGACTTGATCTTGATAGCATCTTGTTCATCCATGATGTGAGCAACGGTTGTATCCGTAGTAACCATGGTCACATCACCAGCTATAAACATATTTTAATTATATAAAAGATGAGAGAGAAGAGCAGCGGGCTACAAATCTGTAGCCAGCTGCAGCACGGACTCTAAGACGCAACGTGTGTATGACATGTGGGACCATATATTAACAGTATAGTAAGTAACTATTGTATAAATTGGTATAGATGTATTGGAGTTAGTACTAGGCTATACTATTAAACTTGCTCAAAGAGATCAGAGGGGTGGCAATTGGTCGCGATCAGCCGCGGGCCGCCCCTGCTCCCCGGCTGCGTGGGCCTCACTTCCACAGTGCCTCTTCTTTTCGGAGGATTCTGGGCCAAACGTTCAAACGCAGAATCGCCGGTTCTCATCCGCGCCGTCCATTAGACCCTTCTCCGCCGTCCGTTCCCCTCTCTCTTCCTCGCCCTCGGCCACCCGGCGCCTCCTTCCCTCCCTACTCTCTCTCCACATGGCGGCGGCGGCGGCTCTCCGGTGCAACCCGCGGCCCTCTGCGGCGGTTGCTCTCCGCGGTGCCGCCGCAGCCCCGCAGGTCGGGAATGAGGCTGCCTTCGAGCTGCTGGTCGGTGCCACCGAGCCTTGCCTGCGGGGCCGGAGGAGGGGTGCGGGGATTCGGTGCCAGCGAAGTGCGGCTGCCAGCGCGGTCGTCGTCGAGAAGAAGAGTCGCGCGGTGGAGCCGGCGCGGGAGGGGGCCAATGCCGGTCACACGGAGTCGGAGCTCACCGTGGTGATGAAGTTCGGCGGGTCGTCAGTGGCGTCGGCCGAGCGGATGCGGGAGGTGGCCGATCTCATCCTCAGCTTCCCCGAGGAGCGGCCGGTGATCGTACTCTCCGCCATGGGGAAGACCACCAACAAGCTTCTGATGGTATACCTACCTCCTTGCACCAGAACCCCAGTTCTGTTGTTACCCTGAATACTCGTGCGCGTTGGTTCTGTGATAGAGAGGTGTTTGATAAGTCTCAAGCACTGACTCCTTGATTTTGCTTCTAGGCTGGGGAGAAAGCGGTGGGCTGTGGTGCAACAAATGTGTCGGAGCTTGATGAGCTCACCTTTATTAAGGAATTGCATTTTGGGTGTGATTCTGATTCAAAATGCTTTACTTTCATTGGGTGGATTGATTTGAAACGCTTTACCTAATTTCTTGCTGTTTTTCTTTATCTAGGACCATTGATCAACTTGGATTGGATAGGTCAATTGTTTCCGGTAAAGACATTTCACACTTGCTTTAGCATTTTTTTTCCGACTATATAAGGTTTAAGTCTCATCTATGGTATTGGAGAACTTTGAGGTCATGAAACATGTGCACAGGGAACTTTTGTTTCTTTTTGTTGTAATTGAAGTGGAATACAGGATGTTAAGTTCAAATTGGTCAGTAGAATGTGCACTGCATGCTGCATGGGTCATTTTGCCTTTGCAACACTATTACTACTAATAATTTGGCCGTGCTAATGCTACGGTAGCATTTAGTAATATAAAGAATATATATGCTTTTGACAATCAAGCATAAAAATAAAATAATATAGATTTAATACTAAAAAAGTGACATTATAAGTTATTATATTGTTAAATACATAGCCACACTAGTAAAAATAACATCACAGTTTTTTCATCTTTTGAAACCATCTGAATCCTAATAATATATAAATTCACAATCAGTGCGTATCCAACACCATCTAATGTTTGATGAATACCTCGTTTACAATAAAATTTATTATCTGCTATAAGATGTCTAGCATTTTTTTTTAGAAATCATAAAAATATAGCTTTTTCTATACACCTGCCACCAAACATAATTTTCCTTCTATTTTATCTGCTCACATCACCCAGTTAAACGTTAGGAGGAGTAACGTTGTTATTCTTTTTATAAATCGGCAAATCCATCTCTCCCATAGTTCCATATGGAGGCACTGGCCAGCTTCAACATTCAACCCAATGCACTTGTATCAACGCCCTCATCGAGGATTTACCATATGGTTACCTATATATTGAGATGTTAACGTAGATAGATAATAAAAATACTTAGTACGATACCAACGCTAATAAGTACATTTAGAACATAAACATTAAGCATGTATTTTTGAAAGAGAAATCAACCTACCAGCCATGAAAGCATCAGTTGCATCCCATGTCTTATCCATTGAACAGTTTAAAGTATTGCTGTCCATGTACACACATAAATTGAGTATTGTGTTTTCCAAGTACAGGCAAATTATCTGAGCAATCTAGGATCTGCCAGTTCTATTTATCCTCTAATGTTATACTTAGGCCCCGTTCGATGCTTCCAAAAGGAGGTAAATTTTTTCACGCACGCGAAACGAGAAACCTCATTAGCACATGATTAATTAATTATTAACTATTATAATTTTGAAAAAATGGATTTAATTGCCTTTTTTAAACAACTATATAGAAACTTTTTTAAGAAACACACCATTTAACAGTTTGAAAAGCGTGCTAACGGAAAACGAGGAAGTTGAAGAAAAGAACTAAGCCTTACACTGAAACTGAGGTTTCATTGGCCATCCAAAAAAGAATCAATCAAGATGCTCATACCCTGAAGGTTATGTTTTAGGATGGTCAACGTTTCAAATCAAAGATAGGACAAACTCAAATGTATAAATATTAATTGGATTCATTTACCTGTCAGCCAATGCCTCGACTTATGATTGATGGAGGAGTCATAGTTGCCTTGTATACCTTGAAGCAGCAATTGAAGCTCCTGCTGTCTACAAGGCAAAATTTATCAGATTGGTACTTCTAAATGGATAGCAGATAGTACATTCTAGTATAGACTTTTCTTTGTATGCTTGATTTAGCTATAGGCCACTATCACTATTATATCTATACTTATTAGTTGCTTACACAACAGTACATATAATACAATGAACAAGTAGCACTTTACAACAAAGATTGCAATATTTGAACCCGTTTCATTCGTTTAATGTCAACAAATAATTAAAATCTAAGTTCAACTGCAAAAGGAAAAGAGAACCAACCATATTTTGCCACTAAGCAACCATCGCTGCAAAATTTAAGGCAACATAAATATTATGCTATTATGTTAAAGACCCATTACTTTCTGAAAAAAAAACAGAATAAAGCAAGACAAATAATACAAGAGCTTGTTGGTTAACTGATGAGAAATACTGAGATAAATAAAATCGCACATCCCAATAAGCTGCCATAAGTAGAAACTGGACATTAAGGCTATGTGATCTGGGAAAGAAAAAATATACTTCAGTGTGCTGTGACCTTGGAAGAACATGGATGCTTCTGTTACCTTATCTCTGTTTACCTTCTTTCTTTATGTCTAAAATGTCTGCACTACAATGAAAAGCAAGCTTTAACTATTCTAATCAGCATGATAATTGTAAAGGAAAGGAAAAGAAACAATTATATTCCACATGAGAGGTACTCAGCTTTTAGCAATGTTTTTTTTCCTCGAAAATGCAAGAGAATTGCGTTTCATTTCATTAAGGGGAAGAAAATAAAGGAAAAAAAAACAAAGTAGGAGAGACCAAAGCCCTCCTACCGTGAAAACACACACCCATGCCCCGGCCAACCCCGGCCATCTAGCTGCCTAGGTTTGCCGAACCACTAAGAAACAGCTTTTAGCAATGTGATTTGTGTTCATCTAATGCACAATCTGTAAACCCCAGTGTAAGAACAAATGGACCTGATCATCCTCAGTAGTAAATAAGAGACTGAAAATCCCTCTGCTAGATAAGTTGGCAGCAGCTACACCCATCTGTGGAACAGTAGAACACTTAGTAGTGCAAACTACAAAATACACAAAGTTGACATCTCAATAAATTGTACGTTTGCACTCAAAGTTTATTTTGCAAAACAACACACAAGCTCATCTAGAAGGAAGATTTCATCAGCATAGAGCCACAGACCAAAAGGCATATTTACTTATTCAAGACTATCTTACGGAGAACTGAAGATTCTAATGCACCTGTTTATCAATGCAACAATTATTACCTACCACTGACTATACAATTAGAAATAAGCACCTAGCAGATAGTGCTAATTGTACTCTAGTATATCGTGAACTATATAACAATTTAACAAGGACATTTGGCATCAGTTATCCAGTGTCCAGTAGGTCCGAAGAACTTGATCAACAACTGCACGGCTTGAAGAACATCTGCAGCTGTAGGAAGCAAGAATGAACAGTGATCTTATTACCTAAAAGAACACTGCCAAAATAGCAGCAAATCACTGGATAATAGTAACTACTGCAGCAAGTGTAAGCTATCTGAAAAACAACATTTTGGCAGATGCTAAACAAGTTTCTATTTACTGAATTTTTAAACAACAGATCAACATAATGCATACTTTAGTGAATTTACAGTTTTGACTTCCGAGGACAAAGTGTGCAGATAAATGAAAATGAACACATTAGCAGCTATAATTCTTGTTGATGCAAAAATCAACTAATCAAGTGAAGGGTACCTGATTATTTTCGGATGGCAGAGTGGCAATGTAAGGGTGTCATCCTTATAAATTGGTCCTGTCCCCAACTGTTGCAAGCCTCTGTAGTACAATGTTTATGAAGCTCAAATTAACTTACTGCATATACTTATAGGCAGCCTGTACCAGTACCAGCTCAAATTAGAGGCATTCCACCAAGCAATGAAGATGGCTGTCACTCTGTTCGGTCGTGGAGGTGGAGTGGCCACTGCTTCAGGAATCAGGCGTCGGCAGATGGAGCGCCGGTGTATTAGGCCGCAGAAGGTTGGGTACGGCGGCCGTCGCCACGGAGTGGATAGCGAGCCTGTGTCTTGTTGGCTGAGTTGCCAGCCCCCCTGCAGCGACGAGTCAGTGGACGACGGGAGGAGTCGAGGTCAGCGGCGATTTTATGGCGATGATGGCGAATCTTGAGAGAGGTTGATCGAGGGGCGCGATTAGGGTTAGGCACCGTGGTCCTGGAGAATTGGAAAAAAGGGGAGGAGCTTACCTGTGTGCAGTGAACGGACCTTGAGGTCGACGTGACTATGTATCGGCGGTGGTGGCGCCTGAGGCGGAGGACGCAGCGGCGGCGTCGCTTTGTCGGAGATCGGTGAGGTGTCGAAATCGGCGGCGGAGGGATGGCAGCATGAGTACGAATCGACGGAGGTCGAGGAGGAAGAGGGCGGTGCGGTTTCCGGTGTCAACGTCGGAGGCAGGTGTCGAAGAGGCGCTCGTGACCTGGGAGGGGTGAGCGCGATCTGGGTGGGGAGGGAGGTGCGTGATCTGATCTGGATCGGGAGGGAGGTGTGACGCTGTCGGATGGAACTCATCAGTTGATTTTCAATCGTTGGATGTGTCACATGATGAATGAGTAAAACAACTTGTTGAACTATAGGGTAGATGAAATGACAACATGCGTGCATCATGTAGCATGATTTCTCAAACTTCATTCCTATTTGTTAGGTTGCACCCATTCATCGATCTCAGAAGCCTATCATTGTTATCAAGAAAACTGTTGAATATGATGGAAATACTTGAAAGTATGGTTTAATGAAATTCTGTGTAAAAACAACTGCCGTTCTGTGTTAGTTTCACAAAGGGTAGTTAGGTTTCTGAAATTTACTCATAATGTATTAATCTCTATCTAGTTTCTGGCATTGCTTTATTATACTATGCTAAATGTATGGTGTTTATTGCTTTAGTATAAATTGCTTATGTCTAGAGTGATTGTGGAAAGCATTGTTAGATCATTATTGGGCTGTAATGTTACATTAGCTTCCATTTTCTTTGGTACATCAATTACCCTTGATAGACGCAACATAGAAATTACCATAGTCAATATGAAATATTGCAGGCTTGTCGGATGAGCTTGAGCAACTTCTTAAGGGAATTGCTATGATGAAAGAGCTTACTCTTAGGACAAGAGACTATCTTGTTTCCTTCGGTGAATGCATGTCAACAAGGATATTTGCGGCACTTTTGAATAAACTTGGGGTGAAAGCACGTCAGGTATATTCTCTTCAATTGAATTTCTTTTATCCGCTCTACCTTGTTGATTTAAATATTCCTTCTTGTTTGACATCTCTGAATATAGCCAGTGCTTACTGCTATTTTCAGTATTATTTTAGTTCGTATAGCCTAGCAGTCAGCCAGCAAAAGTCATTTATGTACCGAAAACAATACAAATGTACAAGTGTTCTGAATTTATATTAATTCTTTTCTATCCAACAGGTGCTTCTTTAGATAAGAAATACCCAACGTATTTTTTGAAGTTATACCAATGATACTTTAGCTAAACCCAGAATTTTGATACAGCTATAATTAATTGATTCTTGATATTTTGCAGTATGATGCATTTGAAATAGGCTTTATAACCACTGATGATTTCACAAACGCTGATATTCTGGAAGCAACTTATCCTGCCATTGCAAAGAGGCTACATGGGGACTGGGTTACTGGTCCTGCTATTCCAATAGTCACTGGTTTTCTCGGAAAGGTTGGCCATCTAACCCATTTTACACATTTTAATTGAATGGTACCGATACTCCATGTCTCCATCTGTCCTTATAGTGTTCACATGTGAACTTGTAGGGATGGAAAACTGGTGCAATCACCACTTTAGGCAGGGGTGGTAGTGACCTGACAGCTACTACCATTGGCAAAGCCTTGGGATTAAGAGAAATCCAGGTTTGTTTTACAGTTGATACCATATCTTGCAATTAGATTATTTTGCCTCTGGTAACCTCTACCATTGACAATTACTATTTTCAGTAAGGACAAAAAATGCCCATTTTGTTCCCTGTTGCCATTACGTTAGCCTTTCGTCAAATGCACTCCATTAGCCCCATGCAAAAAGTCCATTTAATCATTGGAAGTGTAATGTCAGCATAGAGAGAGCTTCATACTCTCCATCGCCATCACCAACTCATGTTTGTAATTATCAGAACTTGCTCAAATTTACTTTCCTACTAAGCATCCTGTTTTACTTGTTTGTTTTAATTCTCAATGCAGTGAACTTATATTTCTTCCCATATTCCTAAATCCTAATAGGTTTGGAAAGATGTTGATGGTGTTTTAACTTGTGATCCTAATATTCATCCAAATGCGAAACCTGTGCCATACTTGACATTTGATGAGGCAGCTGAACTTGCCTATTTTGGTGCACAGGTACCGCATGATTTTTATCACTTTTATTTATCTATCCATTTGTAAAAGTCAATGTTATTTTTTCAGTGGGTTTTCTTTTAGTAAAACAGTTTCCCTTTTAGATGGTTTACTTTTTAGCTTAATAATTTAGTGACCAATTGGTTGTCTTCTATATATCCATTTGTTATCTGCTTACAGAAATCCCTTTACTAACTAATTCTAGGTTTTGCATCCACAATCGATGCGACCAGCTAGAGAAGGTGATATACCTGTCAGGGTTAAAAACTCTTATAACCGCCGAGCCCCTGGTACACTCATTACTAAAGCTAGAGATATGAGTAAGGTTTGATGCTTGACTATTTTCTAATATTGGACTCATCTACTTGTTGGTTGCAACTTATTGAGTCTTGGATGACTTTTTCAGACTGTTTTGACTAGTATTGTACTTAAATCAAATATTACAATGCTTGATATAGTGAGCACACGGATGCTTGGACAATATGGTTTTCTAGCTAAGGTACAGCTAGAGCTTACACATTCTTAAGTTTAATCTTGTATTTTATTCTTTTAGTTGTAATATTTGTATTGCTTCTTCAGGTCTTTTCAATTTTTGAAGATTTGGGCATCTCTGTTGATTGTGTAGCTACAAGTGAAGTCAGCATATCTTTGACCCTGGATCCATCAAAACTCTGGAGTCGTGAATTGATCAAGCAGGCAAATGTTTGGACCTGAATCCATTCTTTATTATTTCTCATGATTATTTGATTTTTGTCCAAGCTGCCTTTTTTTGGGATCTTGTTGAGCAGTCTTCTTCATTTTTTATTTTGTACCAAGGAAAAAAAAACTGCCACTACCATATTTAAATCTGCTCAGGACCTCAACCGCAGGCATTATATTGCATAAGGAAGTAAATATACTAGAACTATGAATCATTCAAGAATTAAGATAAGGAATATTGAATGTTGTGCTCAGTAAAAAAAAAGTGGTAGTTGTGCCTTTGATGAAATCTTGAAATTATAAAAACAAATTATTGGTTGAGGATAATCTTCGAAGACTCTAGCATATTTCGACACAAATGAACAAGTTACTAGGTTCCAATTAATGATGCATCTTCCAGCTTGATGTGCTTGTAGTTCATCTCTAGTGATATGTGCCAGGAACTTGATCATGTCATCGAAGAACTTGAAAAGATAGCAGTTGTTCACCTACTGCAGCATAGATCGATAATTTCGTTAATTGGAAATGTGCAGAGGTCATCTTTGATTCTTGAAAAGGTAAATGCTTGTCCCCTAACTTTAACTGTCTCTACATCCATAATGTTGTTCTGAAGTTCCAATTTCAGCTACGGTTAATATCTGTTTAATGCTAGCTTGTGGGAAACATCTCAGAAATATCCTGCTCAAGCAGCATGGAACACAGCTTTTGTTTTTCTTCCCAATACATGGTTGATATCCATTCTCATTTTGTCAGGCTTTCAACGTTTTACGTACAAATGGAGTTAATGTTCAGATGATCTCACAAGGGGCATCCAAGGTGCTTATATTTTCTTTCATGTTTGATTTTGATGATGGATTGCAATTTTGTGTGATTCCTGACTGATGAAAGAAACCTATCATCCTTAAACAGGTGAACATTTCCTTGGTGGTCCATGACAGTGAGGCAAAGCAGTGCGTTCAAGCCCTCCACTCAGCATTCTTTGAGAGTGGTTTCTTGCCAGAAGTCAATGATATTCTGCAGGACGACTCTGTGGCACATTCCAATGGCACAGTTTACAGGCATTAGTCAGAAGTTTAATCCTTATGTTGTACTGTAGTTATACCATTTGCAGCCTCAGAATCTGATCGTTCTCAGGCTAAAAACCCAATGTTGTAGGAGGGAAGGAGCAATTCCGGCTTTTTATAGTATTCTAGTTGGCTCTGGTTTACTACCAAAATGGGCATACTACCATTGTTACCATTCTTTGCAGAGCAAGTAATTGCTAGGGAGCTAGTAGCCTAGTACCCGTTCCTATTTGCAAAATGTCCACATTCACAGGCCAAGTGCTTGTGTGGTTGGGCACGTTAGTTTCTGACAAAAACTAACATAGCATGTGCATTACACTTGCTTTATATTCTCGAAATAATTTGAACGGTGAATGGCGTTATAAGTCGGAGAACTGTGGCTGGTAGGCCTGAAAGAAATCCTAGATCTTGAGGGGGAACGGAAGAGACGGGATTTTTTTTTACAATTTGGTCCTTTTCAAAAACTTATTATATAAATATATCCTTGAGAAAACTTATTTAAAAAAGTCCTTTTTGGTGTGCCAGAGTAGCCAGCGCCATCGTCCAATGGGACGGCACCACCCCTTGCCACTGTGACAACGCGATAGCCCAATATTGACGTTGGGGGGAGCCCCTCACCCCCCCCCTCCCCTCACACACCATTGCACCTACCCTGTCTAAGCTCGAGTGCCGCTCTTACTCTCTCTCCTTTCTACTCAAATCCACTTAAGAGATTTAGGGACAATTGCTTATCTGACTCCGTTTTAAGCTGTAACTATTAATTTGACCATACTTTTTAAAGTTTGCTTATTTGACCCTCTTCAAAAATGAAGCTCCCGTCTGACCTCCATTCCACGACTCCGTTAAGGTTTTTTTTTAAAAAAAGAAAATGTTTATAATATTCCTAATACCCAAAATACCCTCCAAACCTTATCTACTGTCTTGTGCAACACACTCTCTCTCTCGTGCAAATCGTGCGGTGGCGGCGAGCTACGCGTGCGGCGACGGCGGCGGTGTGAAGCGGAGCCCCACCGGCACCCGCTCGTGGAGATGGAGGGCTGCGGTGGCGGCGCTCTGAGGGGGCACGGAGGAGCTCTGTGGGGGCGGCGGCGGCGTGGGGACGGCGGCGGCGAGGGGGCTACGGTGGCGTCGGTCGTGGTTGGAGGTAGCGGCAATGCAGCGTCGCCGGCGCATGGAGGTGACTGTGGTGGCGCCAGCTCGTGGGTGGAGGTAGCGGCAGTGCCGGCTCGCGAGCGGAGGGAGAGAGCAGCGGCGGCGGCGGTATCGGTGCGCGCAGGAGCAGCTGCTTCGCGCTGTTGGGGTGGCGGTGGGAGGGCCACGGCGAAGCTGTGGCTGACCCCAGCGACGACCCGAGGAGCTGCGGCGGTGCGCTGTCCTTGGCGACCCCGACGTCGCACGGACCTACGCGGAGGAAGGTAGCTTGTCCCACCGTCATGCCGACCCCTGTCGTGAAGCTATCACCACAGCGCCATATCTTGGATTTTTCACATTTTGGTCCTTTTGAAAAACTTATTTCGTAAATAGACCCCTGGAAAAACTTATCCCAGAAATGGTCCTTTTCGAGGCGCCAGAGTGGCTGGCGACGCCAGCCTCTCTGGCGCCGTCCCCCTGCCGACGTGGTGGGGCGATGCTGAGGTGGCTGGGAGGAGCGCGCCAGAGCGCCAGAGCAACTTTTTTATTTTTATTTTATTTTTTTGATATTTTTTTCACACTTAGGAACTCAAACGAACCAACCATAAAAAAATAAACTCAAACGGACGAAATATGTGGCATGTGGAACTTTCCAAAGCTCTACCAAAAAACTTCTCTCCTCGAGAACACAATCTTGCAAGCGGAATTTGGAGGTTTTAATATCGCCGAACCCGGTGAAGTTGGGGAGAATCGGATGTAACTTTTTATGTACATGTCCGTGGATATATTATTTGCCTGATTCTGAGTCCGTATGAGAAAGTTACGCTCATTTTATGTGGTTATATTTCACCTAGTGGTAGATTGCATTATTTTCGAGTTTAATTTTTTTTGTGGTTGGTTGCATCGTGATCCTAAGTGTGAATAAACATCTGAAAAAATAAAATAAAAATAAAAAGGTTGTAACTCCATATAGAGAAACAGGAATGGAGGCTAGGGGTAGGGGATGGGGGGGGGCGCCAGCCATACTGGCCCTCCTCCCTAGGGCGGCGCCAGCCATGCTGGTACCCTCCTCCTGCCATGTCGGTTCGCGTGTGCCATGGTGGCAGGAGGACGGCGCCAGAGAGGCTAGCGCCGGTACCGCGCCAGCCACTGTGGCACCCCAAAAAGGACCATTTCTAGGATAAGTTTTTCTAGGGGTCTATTTGCGAAATAAGTTTTTCATAAGTACCAAAATCTGAAAAATCCAGGCGCCATATCCCAGCCCAACCTTTTCCCCTTGATTGCTAGTGCTTTGCATGTGGTTGGGAGAAATAATCGTTGAATGATGGAAGGAAGTGCTGTACATGGCAAGGAGAAATCATCATATGTTAGTTTGGGCATGCTTGGATTTCTTTGCTACCATTTCTTTTTTTCCTTTTATTTCTCTTCTTTTAATTTGTATGTAGAAAGCGGAAAGATGGATAATTTGCCCTTTAGTTAACACCGTTATCCAATCTTCACAGAATAAGGTCAATATTGCTCTTCAATTTTAAAAAATGGGGTCAAATAAGCAAACATAAAAAAATAAGGTCATATTGATAGTTAAGCTTCAAAACAGGGTCAATTGAGCAATTGCTCCCGAAGATTTATTGGTAAGAGACTTCCTATTGTTTGCTATTTTTTTTTTACATTCGAGTGTTCTTTCTTAAAACAGCATAACTTTCTCATATAGACTCGGAATCTTGAGAGGGTCCTAGATCTAAGGAATTCGGTAAGTGGTCACTTAGTTGGGAGTGTCTTATCGAATATGTGGAATTATTCGATTCTTGAGACATTGCAAGGAGAATGAATTCAAATTTCAGAGATCGATCTATGAGAAATACTTGAAGAAATATTTACCGAGTGTTTGGCAGGATGCTTGAAGAGTTATATGGTCCGTAATTAGATTATGGCAAATTTTACTACATGATACTCAAAGTTTGTGGCATTTGCTGCTAGACACCCAAAGAACGTGTTACTTCCTATGGACACTGCAAAAATGTGATAATTAGCAGCTGGATATCCGAGGCATTATTTTATTATTTTAGATAAAAAAAGAGAGAGAAAGAGCCTTGAAAGTATCGAAATACCCCTAGAAATATTCTACTTCCTCTTTTCTTTCATCTCATCTCACCCTGCCTTCCCGAGCAGCCGTGGGTGGCTGCAGCCACGGGGAGCGGCACGATAGCTTCCCAGCTGTACGCGTGTGGGTCGCGTGTCCCCGTCACCGCGTGCCCTCGATGTCCAGCACCACGCGTGGTGTGCCGGCACGAGCGGCCGCACCGTGCTCGGGAAGTCGGAGGCGCTCCGCGACATCGCGATGATGAGCGAGTGCACCACCACTCCCAGCTCCAGCACCTCCACCAACAAGGATGCGCAAAGCGAAATCGATTAAGAAAATAAGAACAACAATTTTGATTTGATTTTTTTCTTAATTTTGTTGCATTTTTTTGGCCATCGGTTTAGATTTCCTTCCTTCCTACACGGTCCGCACTCACCCACGCACTAGGTTGCTTGCTGCTCTCGCCGTTCGCCGTTGCTTCGCGGCAAGCATCGATCGAGCTAGTGAAGATAGATATGTGCGGCGGCGCCATCCCGCTGATCAACAGCCACGGCCCTGGCGGCAAGAGGAGCTAGCCTCTCCGTAGCCGATGAACTCTGGCCGCCGCGGCGCCGCCGCAGCACGCCAGCGACGACGACTTCACCAATTCACCACCACCACCGCTGTAGCTCCACCGGCCGAGCAAGGTAATTAAATAGAAATAGCAATGTAATTAAATAGTAATACAGCTTGATTACCATTAGTTTGCATACATATGAACTGAACTACCTGATTTTGCATGCATACGAACTGAACTACTGATTGCTATGCGTGCAGCGGCGGACGAGGAGGAGCAGTCGATGGCGAGGGGAGCGGAGGACGCTATACCGGGGAATCCGGCGCAGGCCGTGGGGGAAGTGGGAGGCGGAGATCCGCGACCATGGAATATAATAAAATAATGAGGCAGGTGTCCAGCAGCTAATTACCATATTTTTCAGTCTCTATGAGAAGATACACTTTTATTGGGTGTCTCACAGCAAAAACCACAAACTTTGAGTGTCTTGTAGAAAAATTTGTCTTAGATTATCGCCCAAAGACCATGTGTTATGTGCATTTAGGTTCACAAGTACAAAAAAAGGTAAGGGGCATATGTTTACACCTAAATTTGACACCTAGATGCGAAAGAGAAATATTGTAAAAATTTCGAAGGCGTCGTCGGGTTTCTTTCATGGAGTTGGTCAGACCACCATATATAGGCCGGTTTGACCGATGTGTACGGTTGGTTTGATCGGCGGCATGTGACCAGCCAGACCGGTAGAGTGCGAGTTCATGTCGAATTTTGTCAGGTCTCGGGTTTCCTTGCATAGAGAGGTGATTTTCGAGTTCTAATTGATCTCTACCTTGAATTTGATGTGAAAGAGATCTGTATTGGAGGCAAGACCAACACCTTTATAAGAGACAAGACCGGTTCAATTAGAGACAATCTACTTTCAACCCAATTAGCCAAGAATCTTTTTTTCAATATGACATCTTTTTTGCCTAGTTTAGTGCAAAACTATTTTGTAGGTTTGTCCTGTAAACCTTCCGTTCACTCACGAGACGGATATTTATCTTTTGTTCCATCTAAATCGGCTCCGCTTGCCGGTTTAATCTTACAAAACTCATCTTGATCTAGTTTTTGCTAGGTTGAGGTGGTTAGCGACTCCATATTGAACGCGCAAAGATATAGCATAGAGGGGGGAGGTGAATAGGCTTTCCTGAAAATTACAAACAAATTCGCAACGGTAAAATTCAGTAGGCCCGGGAACACCGGAACTTCCGGTCTGCTCAGAATGCCCGGAACTTCCGGTGTTCTTACTACCGGAACTTCCGGGCGATAGTAAAACCTAAAGATTTAACAGGGACTTGAACTAAATTGTACGAAATAAACTACAGGATGACAGAGCAGATACACAACTATAGCAACATGCACAGAATCATCACAAAGAGGACAAGGACGATTTTTTTCCCGAAGTTTGGATCTTGCAATCCTACTCTCCGTTGAGGTGCTCCAAAGAGGCGGGCCTCGATTAACCCCTTGCTTCACTTGTGCAAAGATCCCAGAAGAAGTCCAAGGCCTTCAACTCAACACCCGTAGGTCATTTTCTAGAATTGAGTGACCACCAAGATCCAACTCACAAATCCTTCTAGAAAAAGACCACAAGTGTAAGTTGCTTTACTTAGGAGAACCTCTGAAATCTCAGCACAAGAATCTTTACTCACTTACCTCGTTTCCTTGCGGAGGTGAGGAAAACCTTCACAAATCTTCCCAGGACATCTACAAGATCTTTGGAAGCTCGCGGGCGACACCTAACCGTATAGGAGAAGATCTCCAAGAGTAATAAGCCCAAGTGACAGCCCACAATATATCCAAAGTGCTCAATCAAACCTAATCTTCAAACCTTCTCCAAATCACTCCTACACTCTCATCAATTCTCTCAATCTCACAAGAATGTCTCTAGATTTGATGGAGGAAGCAAAGAGATCTTGGGAGAGGCTAGAAGAACCTAGGGTATGAAAGAACTGAAGTGAAATGGCCAAAAAAAAAAGAACTAGGTGTGATCTGGATATATATAACAGCTAGGTAACGTCATCTAGCCGTTACTCACATTTTTGAACTGGAAGGAGTCCGGAACTTCCTGACACCCGGAACTTTCGGACAACTCACAAGGTTCGGAAGTTCCGGGTCCAGGGACCGGAACTTCTGGCCAGCTTTCTCTGTCCGGGCCAGAGCCATTTCCAAAAATAGCTCCCAAAAATATTCTACCACTTGGATCTCACTAAGAGCACTTTTTATATCCCAGAACCACACTTGGAGCCCCTCTTAATAGTACGGTTTTTCCTAAAACTCGATTTCAAATATTAAACTATCCTATTGTCCTTCGAGTTTCAAATCCGCTTGAATGATGGTTGGTGGGGGGGGGGGTCCTCCAAGCATCTCTTGATCACCTAAGTTCACCTTGGGACTAATCACCTGAGTAACTCAATAAACTCATTAGTCCTTTAACCTTATTCATCATTAATCACCAAAACCCACTAGGGGGATAAATGCAACTTCAATCTCCCCCTTTTTGGTGATTGATGACAATAAGGTTAAAGCTCACAAAGGATTTGATATAAGATTAAGTTTTGAATCGATAGAGGTGAATGAAACTCCCCCTTAAAATATGCATATGGAAAATATGAGTGAAGCTCATATGCATATTAGGAAGGGAGCAAACATGGAGAGTTTCCTTCAACCCTTTTCATTCATGGGATGTAATAAGAGCGATAAATAAATATGACATTAAAAGCAAATGACATGAGAAGCACCGAAAAAGATAAAATTATCACATCACAAAACAAGAAATAAGGCAATCATAGCATGAAGTGATGCAGGGATTATACTTAGCACCTAACAGTCATTACATCCACACATAGAATTTTTACATGTCCATATAGATAGAGGAGTGAAAGGGGGGCAAAGAAGTCTGCCCGGAACTTCCAAGACCAAAGGTCCGGAACTTCCGGACAAACTGTCAAAATGGCAGCAAGGCTGAAAAAGATAACTTGACCTCCTTCGATTGCAATTTTCTCCCCCTTTGGCATCAAGGCACCAAAAAGGGACCAAACCACAAGGGATGAAGGAGATCAATCCTCGTCTCCATCGAAAGGCACAATCTCAGTGCTGGCATTAGAGGGAATCCACTCAGAGGCATCATCAGAAGTAACCTTCTCAGTCGCAGCATCACTCTCCTATACAGCAGCATCCACAGCAGCCTCAGGATCAGTCCCCTCTGACTCAACATTTGGCACCTCATCCCCATCATCATCATCATCACTAGACGTGGAGTTCTCACAGAAGGAGTGAGAGGGACCCTCACCGGCAGCCACATCCCTAGCAGCCTCATATGCAGCAAATGGGTCCTCAAAAGCTTCATCCTCAGAAACATCTGACACATCCTTGCCTGCAGCCTTCCAATCTTCCTTCTGATGCCTCTCAATCTTCTTGACTTTCTTTGCTATCTTGGTGCCCATACAAAAGATAGCTTGAAGTGCCTTCTTGATGGTAGAAGAAGAGCTCGAGCGCTGAGGAGCAACTGAAGGAGCGGCTGAAGCTAAACCTCTAGTAGACCGGGATGGAGGAGGGGGAGCCGCAGCAGAAGAGGAAGGAGCATGAGGGTGGAAAGCCTTCTAATCACGTTGTTTGGAGAAGTAAATTCCTATCATTTCCTCAATCATCTTCATAATGTATGGGGGTATAAATGCAACCTCTCTTAGGATCATAGATGGTCTCAAGAATCTCAAACCAAATGAGCTTCATAACACTGAAGGCAGGGCACTGGTAGCGCATAGAGCAAAGGAGGTGAGCATGCTTGGTAGGAACAGTTGTGGCATCCCCAACCTTTGGAAGCAAGGACCACCTGGAAATGGAATAGATAACTTTATAGTTGGGATGCATACCTCGAGTGGTACCCATGCAACCAAAAGGAGTTCCTTTCTCATACATGAAGCTAGTCCTGTGCATCAATAAGGCTTCCAAATCAAAGAGATGAGGCGTCGTCAGATCCTCTGGATCAAGCTCTAAGGCAGCAGCAAACTGACCCATGGAGACTCTGTATTGTTTCCCCATAGTCATTCACTTGATGAAATGAGTGCCCTTCTTGGTGGTGCCAAAATATGCTGTAGCATAGAACTACCCAATAATCTCCTCATTCCAATCATACTCAAGAGCAAGGATCTCCCCAAGATTCTTTGCCTGACACACTTTGATTACTTCATTAAAGACTGCATTGTTCTTGTGCCTCATGAATATCCAGTCCACATACTTCATCTCTACCACTGGATGGGGTCTTGCCATGAAAACGGAGTTGTACCAATCAACTTGCACAAGAGTGCGAAAGCGGGGATCCTGAGAATTGGCATCCTGCAACTGGGCGCGACTCGCAAGGAGAGGAATAGCGTTGTCAGCACTCTGCAGTGCAGGCCTTAAACTAAATATTTAAATCCATCTGTCGTTTGGGCAATGTAGCACGGAAAACAATGTAGCATGCATATAAATGTATCTGATAACAAAACAGCAAGCTACTGGACTGTCATTTGGGCAAGAATAAAAGATATATTTTCATTGGCTGGTTAGTCTTCAGACAACAACATAAAAATTCAAGGAGAGCTACAGAACACAGGTGTTTACATTGCAATGGGAAGTGCAACACTGCAAATCATATTATTATTTTTATTACAGGAACATTGATGAGTAAGCTGAATATATGTACACCAAAACGAGCTGTTAGCTGCTATATGTACACCAAATTTTGTCAATCCATGATTATAGAGAAAAAAGATGCAATTTCAGAGATGAACTTTCAAATCTGTTGCATGAAGTTCAATTAGAATCCACCCTGCAACCTACAGATCTTATTGTCCCTTAACGTCCAAATTTGACTTGCTAAAATCTACAAGAACCCTAGTTGAAGAGGGAGATGAAAGGAAAAAGAGTAGTAATAGAGTCACCTCACTGGGGAGATCCAATCACCCACACAACTGTCACTAGGGGTGATGTGCAGGCAGAATCCCGAAGAAGGAGAGGACGATAGGAGCGCCGGGAGTAAAGATGGGACTCAACCACAAACTCGTGCATCACATAAAAAACCTAGAAAAAGGAGAGGATGTGAAGAGCAGCTCAACCCAGATCTTGGAGGAGGGAGGCTTGGCGTTGCATCTCGCTGGAGGGGAAGGACGAGGAAAAGGACAATATGCCACTGTTATGATGTGGTTTCAACAAAATGCCACTCAATAGGATACACGGGATAAAATACCACTTAATACATTACATTCAAGATATTTTGCCACTTTGAAGAATTTCACCTATTTTATATTATTTTCGCCCTGTTTTCTTTTCTCCACGTGGAATGACTGAAGTGCCCTCGTCTTCTTTACAAAGATGAGATCAATCCCTTGTCGATCCAAAAATCCACCACGCCCTGCCGCTCGCCCGCCACCTCCGCAGCGCTGCCCACCCACCGCGCGGCTCCTCTAGCGCCGCCGCCCGCGCCCGCACTCCCCTGTCCCTCTGTCTCTCTCCCTGTCTCTCTCCCCAGCGCAGCTCACTCGTTCGGTCCCCATCAGCCGAGCCGCAGGCCTTGGAACTCGGTTGGACAAGAACTTCTTCTGCTGCTATGAATCTGAAAAGTTGAGTTTGATTCTATTTTGTCTATGCCTGTTATTTTTATGTCTGCTTACTACGAATCTGAAACTTTTGGATATGACTGCTGAAGTATAGATCGATCTGATCTATTTGGATCAGCCAAGGGCATTTCAGTTATTTCACGTGCAAGGGAGAAAAAGAAACATGAAGAAAATAAAATAAAATAGGTAAAACTCTCCATAGTGACAAAATATCCTGAAGTCTGCGTATTGTATGGTATTTTATCATGTACATTTTATATTGAATGGTATTTTATTAGGACCACACCATAAGAGTGGCGTATTGTCATTTTTCTCGGGGAAGGACCGGCGGCGGCGACGTCAAGGGGAGCGGCGGCGAGCCGGCGACCTTCGTTCGCGAGAGGGGAATCGTCGCTGCGGCACACGAGCGACGCGAGGAAATTTTCCTGACCTCCCGACACGTGGGATTTTTCCCTTGGGACGTGGATCTGGCCGGTCCAGAAAATGGGCCCATGAAATTTTTCCGCCCGGACCGGCCGCCCTGGGAATAGGCCGGGCTGCCAAATGAGCCCTGATAGAGCAGGAACCCTTTGCCATGTTCGTATTCCAGAGATATAGTGTCGCCTTTGCCATGAGAACATGCTAGGTGCACTAGAAAGCATTCCACCGGGAACAAATTATCCATTCCGTCAGAGGAAGAAAATATACTTCCCACACTGCTGTAACAACAAAAAGAGCTTCATGATATAAGTACAAGAGGCTAAAAGCATTCAAAATAAATAATAGCCAAACACTAACAGATCCTACAATAATAAATTGTATTATTGTACTCCCTCCATTCCAAATCGATCTACATATAGTTTTTTTGAGGTTATTCCTAAATAATTTACATATTTGTGTTCATTCATTAAGTCTATTCGTTATTTGTGCATTGGAGTAAATGGACATTGATGTATATATCCATGCACATAAGTATTTATAACCCACATGCAATATCTTAATTTGATATTGGCTAGAAAATAATGGGAATGGTGCATGCATCAAGTTTGTTGCTAGAGTAAATATAGTATGAGAGAGTTATTAGTTTTTCTTGGTCTTGGTGTATCTATGAAATATGTAGATCAATTTAGAATGGATGGAGTATACGGCAGGAATTAGCACCATTTAGTTATGTGCAATGTATTAGCTGCATCTGATGCTAAAAGTTCCCCAGAAATAACTAGTGCCCAACAAACAGTGTGAAGAAATCTAAAACCAGTGTGAAGATCATAAGCAGGCAAAGAATATTATATTACCATTTTCGCACTACTGCATTAACCTCCTTGTGCATATCCTTCTTTTCTATATAGTTGCAATCCACTCCTATAAAACAGCTAATGAGAGATGTTAGGTCCCGATCTTCCGATAGGTATTGATAAACAGTTGATTTGGGCGGAGTCGCGACACAACTCGATCCGGCTTCTGAATGAACATGCTACTGAGCCCCGCAATCGCAGCACCACGTCTTCTCTAGTTATCAACCGTACTGAAACCCGGTTGACCTCGCCGAGAAGGCTAATCCCTGCATATGAATCAAAGAACACAAGCAAGAACAAGATAGATTGCAACCAAATTGCATATGAATGATTAAGTAGTCGAATTTGGAGTTTCACAAACCGATCTAGCGGCGAATCTATTCTTGACAGAATAATCTAAGCAAAACCCGACTCTAAACGATGACGGCTACTGAATAAGTATCATTAGGGACGTCCTAGAGTTGCCCTAGGGCGCACACCCCCTTGGGCTAAGCCCACGACACAATTACAAAGCCCAAAACCCAAATCAGATTCGAACTGGATGATATACGTGGCTTGTTTTGCAGAATCCCGGTAGCTCAGTAGGAATTTTGATGTGGGACCAAAACCATCTGAAAATAGACTCCATAAGCTTTCCATTAAGTACTCATGGACACCGAAATTCCTTTTAGATAAGCGGCTAAGTCCGTTTGAAGTTGATGCTGTCAGGAGACCCGAATCCGAATCCAAAACATATAGAACTTTGTCTCTTGTTTTCTATGGACCAAAAGTGATGTGGTGAGGTAGAAGTGGACTTGGAGAAGGTCTTGGTTTGGTCCCCAATCAACTTCTTTAATCATCCATATATTCCTTACACTCGGTCTCTTTTCTTTCGCCTAAGCAAATACCTCTGCAAACGAAAACACACAAAATTCATTGTGTAGCAATGTTTGTTTAAATATATAACCAGTAAATCTAATGTAGAATATATGCACCTTTGGTTGATTAATACATAAGGTAGTTATGGTTATATCCGAGCTAGTTGTGTCCTTATCAGCAGCTTCTCATAGAGCCACGTCATCAATAAATCCTCAGCCGTTAGATACGATCTACATGTCCAAGCTTTTTTAGTTACCTGTCCACCTATGTCGAAAAGCTCGGTTACTGGTCAAATCCAGCCCAACTTAACTTGCTGGCCCAGAGCATCCGATCCCCCAGCCTCCCCAAATCGATGAGGCATGCGAGCAGTCTGAGACTCCAAGTGAACTCCCACACGCACAACCCTCGATGGTGGCAGCGAAGGCAATTGCTTCTGAGAACAGATACCATCATGATAGGTAGCCAAGGGTCAATTTTAATGGATGAATATATTTATGTTTCAGATTCCCTCTTTCCATTCTACCTATATATTCATATAATTCTCGCAAATAATCGTCGATCTACTAGGCCAGTTCATTTTGCTCCTGCTGCTGAAGTTTGTTCTCGCTGGATTCATATACCACCCTTTCACCATCATCTTCTTCAATCGCTCCAGCGAGCTAGCACAGGTCAGTGTACGCCAGCGTCCTCTTTCCTTTTGGTCGACTGATTTAATGTTTTCTCCAAAATAAAACCACCATTTCAATTCGTTACCATATGAATTCAATGTTTACAGCATGGTTCATACTTAGTAGAATTATTTTCCCAGTTTGCTATCTAACGTTTATTTGCCCGGAATTACATGTTATTTTTGGTTATTGCCATTGAAGGATGTGGCAAACAATATCACTTAGGCTGCGTTCGGAAGTGCCCATTCCCAACCTTTCTTTTTCGTTTTCCGTGCGCACGCTTTTCAAACTACTAAACGGTATATTTTTTACAAAAAGTTTTTATACAAAAGTTGCTTAAAAAAATCATATTGATCCAATTTTTTTTTTAAAAAAGCTAATACTTAATTAATCATGCGTTAAACACGGCTCCGTTTCAGCCTTAGAATATAACTCAACAAGTGCCACACTTTACACCGATGGGCATGTTAAGCGGATGATATTTTCTAATTAGTATTTCAGTCACGATCTTTACATGATAAAATTATATTAATTAATATATCCATAGTTAAATGTTATTTAAGATACTCCACATCAAGAAAGAGGTCAGATACGCATGTTAGTTCTGAAATAGATTGGATTGGCTCCTGTCTCGATGCATATGTATTGGTTTCTTTCACAGTGAGAGGCTCAGAGCTTCATAGCTTAGCCCACACCACCAGTTACACAGCTTAGCCCACACGACCATTTCTCTTATAAGGCTGAGTTCGGATGAGGGAGATGGGAACCTAACTCCTGTGCACGGAAAACGGAGCGGTCCATTAACACGTGATTAATTAAGTATTAGCTAATTTTTTTTCAAAAATGGATTAATTTGATTTTTTTAAGCAACTTTCGTATAGAAACTTTTTGCAAAAAATACACCGTTTAGTAGTTTGAAAAACGTGCGCGCGGAAAACGAAGAAGAGGGGATGGGAAAAGGTGCATGCGAACACAGCCTAAGTACTTATCCCAACAGGTCAAGCGTTTCTGTACCTATGTCGTGGTGTAGTGTTATACTACAAATAAGCACAGAGTACAACACCTCCAAGGCTCCAAAGCATTCTCAATTTCTCCAGGAAGATGGTAATGACAACAATAAATGAATTAGCATCTACTTTACTACTTATGCATCGTGCTGCCCCCTTAGATTTACACGTTCCTTTCGTTTGGCTGTACGCATCTATGCCCCATACTTTGTAACACACATTCTAATATACTCCTATATCAAGCACACACTTCAACTTGCATTAAGATTCGGAATCCCTCAGCAACGCGTTGTGTATCGTCTAGTTAAAGCTATAATCTAGCCAACCATAATTTAATAGTATTATTTCTTGTTTTCTTTAATTAATATGGTGATGAATTATAGAACTCCAAAGTAAATGTGGTGGTTTTATTACCTCTCAATAGACGGGCATATACTAACAGACAAATATGTAGAAATAATTAAATAGGAAAATTCATTTTATCCGTTAGTGTGTTTTTTCAAGCCATCCACATAGTTATTGAAAAAATAGATGGTAATGTAAATTCGATAAGATTAATTAATACATGATATATCACTTCAAAAACACATAGATTTAAATTCGATCTATCTAAAATATGTTTGTGAATACACACACTTCATAGCCTTTTTTTTTTCAATCTGTATAGATCAACTTTTTAATAAACTTATATGTATCTGAAGTGATATACCCGTATATATTGATCTATCTTACTAAAAAATTTAAATTTTTCATGACTATTAGATGACATGTAAAAACAGTGAATTTGAATATCCCTTAAAAGATGAAAACCATTCCAATTAAATGAACCAATAGATTGGGATAGAAAAAAAACCGTGTGCCTAAACTGCTCAACTTCTTTTATACAGGTGGTGCAAACGGTGACACGAACAAGCCTCAGTTGGATCGACTCTTTTCTAGAGGCGTATTATTGTCTTCAACCTCCTCCCTTTGAGTTAGCTGAAATGCTGAAATCATTGCACTTTGACCTAAAGACGGGATGGACATGAATATCATGGACCAGGTGGTGAGAGAAATGGAAGAAACCAGGTAAGTCCACAGAAATATCACTGAGCATTCCTCCTGGGCAACATCAAACAGTTGAGCCATGGTTCCTGGATTAGATCACACACATGCAAGAGGTATGATCAGATGAGATCTCACTGGAAGCAGAGATAAATGCTTTAGAACGAAATGGTATTGCCTCGCAAAATAAGTACTCTCGTTGTATTTAAATATATGATACCGTTGATTTTATTCAGTTATTATACTTTTATAAAACTTTGATCACAACAGCTCTCAAAATATTTAGTGTAAGACATAAAAAATCATATAGGTATGTTTTTTTCTTCATGCTAAGTACTTTTACAATATTATAATTTTGTTAGCTACAAAAAATGTTGTATTGTAACAGAAAATAGAGGTCAACATTGTACATTAAGGACCAAATAAAATCATCAGCATCATATATTTAAATACAGATAGTACGAAGAAAATGGCATCTGTTATAGGGAAAGATTACCAATAGTCATTGCAGGTGGCAGCGCGAACTGCATCATCAGCACGTAGCGGTACAGCGGGTCGTGTGGCAAGAATCCGACCCAGTATGCACCATGAACTACTGCAATCCCCACTAGAGGAAGGATCATGTAGCGGATGCAGACGATCGCAATGATCACCGTATGCTTGAACTCCAACTTCCTTAGCCCTGCACAAACATTCAGATAAAGGTTCAGAAAACTCATGCACATCCAGAGCAAGTTCAGAAAACACACAGCTTCATGAGTAATTGACATCCTACCTTTTATCAGATTGCCACCAAGGATGAGGGAGACGCAAGGAATCGTGCCATTTCTGCAAGACAAGAAAAATAAACACTGAAAAATAGACAGAAATACTCTATGAAGAAGAACACTGTAAATACTAACTTACCCCATCAGTTGGATGGAGTCCTGGATGACTCTGAGAGGGGCGCCATCACCGATGACAAGAGATTTCAACCATGGAACTAGCCCAAAAACAAATCCAAGTATCTGAAGCAAGAATAACCAAATTTAGTCCAAGACAGGGTTGATTAGATGAAATATTGTGCTGGTTTTGTCAGAAACACACCGCAGATAGAGTTGGTGGTGCCATCAGCTCCTCGACAACATGGTGGATGGTGTCCTTCAAGTTTGTTGTTGTCCACGAGCCTTTCTTAGCAATCTCACTCTCTCCAGACAGCAATGGAGCTTCCTGAATTTCAGACAAGTTAATAGTACTAAGTTTTGTTCAGCCTACCATTTGGTTCTCCTCGTTGTGTTCAGCCAGTTTAGCTGACACCAGAAGAGTTGCCTCCTCATCGGCGCAAGCAGCTTCACCATTTGCTTTGAATTTCTTAGCATGATGTTCTTCATTGCTGTCGTCCAGGCCCTGAATGCTGTTAGGCTGGTGATACATTTGACCTCTCTTCTTCTTCATAAGACTGTACGTATGCGTCCATATGTACAAGCCACCAAGCTGCAGATACAGTGTGTGTCAGTTCTTTTGTTCAGCTGATCATTCAGTGAATGAGATTTTTTTTTCCTTACAGCCATGGACAATGATGAATAGGAGAGCCCAAGAGAGTGGCAGCGGCTGCTGTCTTTTCCGAAACGGGTTGCCATCTTCGTCACGGACTGCTGGGACAACAATCAGGAGCAAGTTGCCAAGATTTCCTGCATTTTTTTGTCAGTTGATGACACTCCTAACATTAGGATTATTCAGCAAAAATATGAGGGTAAAAACATGCAATCCACCTAGGAAAGTTACCAGCTGAGCAGAAGGCAATGATCATTCCTCTGAAATGTTGTGGTGGTTTCAAGATTTTACATGCTATCCAGCCTAGAGTGCCACCAGCCATGAATGTGATCCCTATGTTAATTGGCATAAACCACCTACATGATAGAATTCTTTTGTTAGTGCAGTGGAGTTACCCAGCAAACAAAATTTGGATATTGTATATATGGTCTGCCCAGATATTCGAAAAGTGTTCTGAATGAGAAAACTAGCTAGATATGTAAAGCTTGTCTACTACTTCAGAAAGAGAGTCTCTCACTTCTGCAAGAATCCTTATAAATTTCAGAAAGAGCTTACAGTTCAAAAAATCCAGAAAGTCTGGCTGAGCTATACATATTGTGTTGATTTTGGCAGTTATTAGAATGTGGAAATGGAATTTGGGCAGATTTTGTAGTAACTGCACTTGCATTGTGAAGACAGTGAAAACAACCTGTCAGAAAACGTGACCGTCTTCGCCAGGCTAGCAAACATGAGAGATGGTGCGAAGACAGTGAAAACAACCTGTCAGAAATCTCAACAAGATCAGCCAGAGACAATTAATACCAATTTTTCGCAGTAAATGGCTATGTGCTAATGAGAGCTCACCTTGTTCAATATATGATGATGCCTCCTGAACCAGAAGATGCCAAGCAGAGCAACCAAAGTTGGCTGAAGGTTCCCTGTGTAACAATTAACTAACAGGACAAGAGCATTTTCTTGAAAAAATTAATCTGTTTAATTCCTCATCAATAAACAAAAACAAGGCTACGACATGCATTCGCAACATGAATAATAGAATCAGACTTTCTTTTATAGGAAGGATTCTGCTCTATGTTTATTCTGCATTGACAGATTCCAGATTATCACCAGCTGAATTACAGAATTTGCTGTCCTTCTGTAACCACTTGTGACACAACATATTATCAAGTACCGTATTGTGTTCTTGGATATATCCAGATGTATGAAGATTAGTTAATAGTATCAAGCATTGATTCTCACTGGGACAAATACCTCTCTTGTCCATTTCTTTCAGCAAATTCAACGCTTCACTTAATTTTCCCTTCCGGCATAGATTGTCCACTATAGCAAGATAGGACGAGCAGCCCATTGGTGCACTTTTCGCAACAATAACATCTCGCAGCATTAAAGCCTTGTCCAGATTTCCTTCTTTACAATGATCTCGAATCATGTCATCAACCACATCAAGAGGAATTTTTCCTTGATTTATCATGTCCATAAACAATGAGGAAAAGTGGCGGGCAGCGCTTTCTGAAGTTTTCTGCTGCAACTCAACAAAAATTGTGTGCACTTCACTGAGTTTTCCAGCCTCACTAAGTCCACTGATGATGTTTTCAATAGTCAGGGCATTAGGTACTAGGCCCCTGCCCATTATCACATGCAACAACTTCAAAGTTTCCTGCATCTTTCCACGTTTGCAGAAACCATCAACTAAATTATTGAAAGAAGAAATACTTGCATGTCCCCTAAGAAACATTTCCTCAATCAGAAACATTGCCTGCTCAAGGTCACCAGCACTAGAGCAGCCAGTGGTAAGTACACTATAGACAAAAGCATCTGGTGTTATACCTGTTGCTAGCATTTCATTATAAAGATAGAATGCATTGCTGATGTCACCAACTTTGCAGCTTCCATCAATCAAACTTGTGTATGTCACACAGTTTGGCACTAATCCCTTAGCTAATATGCTATTGAAGACATTGCGGGCATAAGAAATATCACCAGACTTGCACAGCCCATCAATTAGGGCATTATAGCATACAATATTAGGATCTACTCCCTTCTTAGACATTTCATCAAGAATACCAAAAGCTTTTTCCCTGTCAGCTGTCTTGCAAAGACCTGATATCAACGAGCTGTACACATGCACATCCGGAACAGATCCATTCTTCTCAATCCCTGAAAGAACCCTAAATGCTGCTTCCATATTTCCAGAACTGGACAGATTATGAATCAAGATTCCATAGATACGGTTGTCAAGCATAACTCCCTGGTCTAACATGGACTTGAAAGTAGAGGACACCTTTTCAATATCATCTGACTTAAAGTAGCTTTCTAGGAGATCAATGTAGATAACATCATTTGGTTTTAGTCCAGTGTCAAGCATCCGCTGCACTAACTGTTCAGCACTTTCTAGATCACCATTCTTTAGATACCCATGAATGAGGCCACTGTATGTGAATTCATTTGGCAGCAATCCTCTCTCCTGCATCTGAGCAAAGTACTTTGTAGATTCCTCCACCCTTCCCACCTTAGATAGTCCAAATATAAGAGAATTGTAGCAGTACAAATCAGGGAGTACATTCACCTTTGTCATCTTATCAAAAATTTCACATGCCAATGAAACATTACCTTCTCTACAGTACCCTGAGATAAGAGGCGCATAAACAAATGCATTAGGCTTCAATCCTTTTGTAGTCATTTCCTCAAGGAGATCACTTGCCTTTTCTGGTTCACCACTTTGGCATAGCCCATGAATCATTATGCTATAAGTATATACATTAGGGGAAATACCAGCATTCTCCATTTCACTAAGAAGCCGAAAAGCATCCTTTTTGCTATGATGACGGAAATGTCCTTCAATAATGAGATTGTACGTGATGGTATCAGGCCTATGGCTATCTCTGACCATTTGCTTCAAAAGTAGAGAAGCCCTGTCCATCTGCCCCATCTTACATAGTCCCCGAACAAGATTGTCATAGGTAATTTTGTTTGGCTGCACACCAGCAGCAACCATCTCCTTTATCATCTTAAACGCCTCATCTGCATTGCCCTCCCTCATAAACCCATCAATCAGATTGGCATAAACTACGACATTAGGCTTTAGCTCAGCACAAGACATCTCGTCCAACAATGCCTTCGCCTCATTTGACCTACGGCTCTTGCACAGTCCATTAATGAGTGCGCCATAGGTAAACCCGTCAGGAACTAGTCCATAATCCTCCATGTCCTTCTTGAACCCAAACGCCTCTTCGACAGCCCCAGACCTGCATAACCCAGCAATCAGCACATTGTAGGTTACGGTGTTCAGGCCGCACCCCCTCTCACGCATTTCCACAAGCACCTTCTTGGCAGTATCAAATTCCCGGACCTTGCAGTAGGCTTCGATCAGAGTCGAGTACGTATACACATCCGGGGAAATCCCAGCGCCAACCATGAACTCTCGCACCTTCCAAAGCAGAGCCATGGCGTCCGCGCGCAGCAGATCCTTCAACAGCGCGTTGCAGCACCGAATGCTGGGAGCCATGCCCCGATCTCTCATCATCAGGACGACCTCCGCGGCGTCCTGCACCCTCCCAGACTTCTTGTAGGTATCCACGAGGACGTCGAGCACCGCCGGCGAACGGTGGCCAGAATCCGATAGCGCGCGATGGATGGAGGCGAGGACGACGGGAGGTGACGGGTAGGCGCGGATCATCTTGATGAGGAGGCCGTTGGCCAGGTTGAAGAGTGAGCCGGCGCACAGGGACATGGCCAGGTGGGCGAAGGCATCGGGGGCGGGGGCCGACGGCGCGAGCTGGGGGCTGGACCAGTAGAAGAAGTCGAGGAGGAGCTTAGGGTGGAGGCGCGGGGAGGAGGGGGACGGGCGTCGTCGGACGAGGGAGGAGATGGCGGCGGGGGAGAGGCGGGAGGGGAGGTCGGAGGAGGAGACGGCGAGCCTCCAGTCGCCGGAGCAGCGGGAGAGGAGGGTGGCCACCTCGGCGGCCACGGCGTCGGGGTCCGCGGCGGAGGACGAACAGGCGCCATTGGAGGTCGTGGTGGTGGTGGAGGAGGCGAAGGAGGGGCCGGAGGAAAGCGGGATCGGAAGGAGGCGCGCGGCGGCGAAGGGGTGACGGCGGCCGCGCGCGGCGAGGAGCATGGTGGTGGGGGAGAATTGGCAACAGAGCACGGGAACGGGATCTTCTGTGGATTTTGTGCAACTGGTTACTCCAGATAGTTAAATAGTGCTTCAGCCTGATAGTTGAGCCTTTTAGGCCACGTACAACTCGTAGCTTTGGCCTGTCGTCTGATGGCTCCACATCAGAGCCGAGCCTAACTAGCAGCCGAACGCATAGTTCCGCAGGGTGGCATTGAGCTTGCAGAGGAACCGCTCAAAGCGCCACACCTGGGCTGGGGAGCCGCGAAGCCACGAGCCGAAGCCTCGCGTTGGAGGAGTCGGAGCCCCGAGCGTCGCCTCATCCAGTCCCCTCGTGCACCTACCCCAAATCCCCATCTCACCATGGTCGTCGTCGCTGCTCACGTCGCCTTGTCAGATCCGCCGCTGCCGCTGTGGTCGTTGTCGCTGCTCCCCGCTGCCGCTAGGGGCGGAGCCCAATAAACCCAGGGGTTGCCCAGGAACCCGGCACAAAATATGAAACAAGTTATCCCCTCCTATCTCCACCATAGAGGCACCCCCCGGCCCAATACTGGGGAACAGCCACCGCTTTCCCTAGAAGCCTTGCACAACGTACGACGCAGTCAGCGGTATCGATTCGTCTTCCTTCCGTGACGCCATTTCTTCTCTGAGGCGACTCCTCAATCTTTCTCGCTCGTCGCTGCCGTGACACTCCTATGCCCGCCGGTAAGCCCCCAATCGGAAGGTCAGCCCTCCTCCCCTTCCGTTTCCTCCCTGCTCCCAATTTTTTCATTATGTGGCACACGCCTTGATCAAGCTAGGGCTCCCAGTTGCAGAGATGTAGAGGACAGATAGCCGACGACGGCAAGCCATCAACAGCTGGAGCTTGCCACCTGTGTATATAGGAGCAACCTGCCTCCTATAGTCCCGTCCCTCATGTGTGCTCTTTCTCTCAAGTCTCATCATTTGCACGAACATAAATCTTGAAAACAAATTTATTTGGTCTTGAATAGGTTGCTATGAAGAAATATCTTAAATGATAAGTACTAGATTATACTAACAATGTTGGAAGTTCAGCCCTTCTACTGTACTGAATGATTACCAAGTGAGAAGAGATGATGGAATATGATCTAGGCTTATTGATGATTACCATCCTAACGTAAGATACATGGTAAGAAGAAACTATTTAGAGAATTTGACAACGACCTGCAAATTTGATAAAGAAGATACTTATTTTTATTTATATCAAATCATTTCATGACTTATTCTTTGCTGAAAATTAATTTGACAAAGAATAGGTACACAATTTCTGACTTTTTATCTACTTAACAAAAATATTATTACTTGGCTTCTCTATTGTTATTGGGTAAACAAGTATTTAGTAATACAACTGTATATGACGCTAAAAACGATGAAAGCAGGCACCCCCCTTCATTTTCGTTTGGCTCCGCCCCTGGCTGCCGCCAGATCCGTCACCGCCGGTACGGAGGCCAGACTCGTGCCGCTTCGCCGTCTTCCTCGTCCCCACCGTCGTCCCCATGGGCCAGCAGGCGCGCGTCGTCGACAGCACATCGCCGGCGCCACTGCTGCTCCCCCCGGCGCTAGATCCGCTGCCACCGCTGCTCCCCGCCGCCGAGCTCGTGCCAGAGAAGGAAGGGGCAAAGCTGGCGAGCTCGCGCCTAAGAGAGGAGGGGAGAAGCCGGCGAGCTCACGCCGGAAAGGGGAGGGGAGCAGCCGGCGAAATCGCGCCAGAGAGGGGAGGGGAGAAGGGAAGAAAGCGATGGCGGAGAGGCTCTCGGTGGAGAAGAAATCGAAGAGAGAGAGAGAGAGAGATTGAGAGGGGGGAATAAAAAAGCGAGGGGGATGGGAAGAGGCTGACAGTGGGTCGCAATGTGTTTGAGGATGTACATATACTTCTTTTGGTTACTATCGGGTTCAAAATATAAAGTTTTAATAGGTTTGATAATAAGATATCTACAAGGTCTGGCATATAAATAGATAGGGGCTGACATGCAAAATATGTTTTGGAGTGGTTTCCACCGTGGGTACCTTTGTGTGGTTCTATCCTACGTGGCGTTTTGAGACCACTGGTGCTTGTGGCCTCCATTGTACATGCCCTTATAGAACTTATTTCAACAATAAACATTGCCAAAAACTATTTCTAAAAATAAATCATGATTTTAGCACCATCCCCATTGACGCTAAGGTATAATGTTTCAGTGCCACCAATATTAGCGTTGACATATAGTTGGACATTATATGAGAGATTGTCATAATTGGAAGAAGGTGTTGATGACTAAAGAAGGCTATGTTTCTGAGAGTTTATTAGGAAATTCAGAAGGTGTACAGCTTGATCATATTCTAACTGCAGGGTTTCGAGATATTGATGATTCATCTATGGATGATGGTGCCGAACAAAAGAATGGTTTATCTATGCTTGCACGCGCAGTACAATGAGATGGCTCTAATGTTGATGCAAAGGGGCAGCGCTACAATATTTTCCAGTCAGAGCGCAAAATTCAAGACAAGGTATGCAAATTGATAATTGATGGTGGTAGTTTTCAGCTCAGATTTGGTGCATGCTTTATCTTTATCTATGCAAAGGCTTCCTACGCCGCGTTATATTCAATGGATGAATCAAGCAAGCACGCTTAAAATTACTCATAAGGTGAGAGTTACATTTTCTATTGGGAGCTATGTTGATAAAGTAGAATGTGATGTGGTGCCGATGAATGCTTGTCACTTGCTTTTGGGAAGACCATGGCAATTTGATCTTAATGCAACACACGAGGGCCAGACTAATTACAATTCTTTTATACATCGTGGTGTTAAACACGTGCTAAAACCAGTGCATGATAGTGCTATCAAGTCAGTGGTATTTCTTGTTGTAAAGAAGAAAAAGGAACAACCTTAAATTAATCCAAAACCGAAGATGGCTTTGTTTCAAGAGGGGAATGACCTTTTTCAGGATTTTTCTTAGAATGCTTGTTTTATTTTTATTTCCAAAAAAACATAGGTTTTGATTGTAAATTAGTATTATGTTAAATTTGAAGCCAACAAATTCGAGAATTTAAATTATATTGTTAATCTTGATGAAATTATTTCGCTCAATAATTATATGTTTGCATTTTGAAATGAATAAAAGTGACTAGTTTCAAAACTATAAAAGAAATTAATTAATTTTTCAAAGCACGTGAACTTTCAAAACAAATAAAAAAAGGTGTAGGGAATCGAACCCTTGTCCTCTAGATAGAAACATCACATTTCTATACCTACCACTTGGCTAGCTTCAATTGATAATTTCCATAAGCTGTTTTTTGTTTTCTAGATGATAAAGAGATCAACACCAAGAGATATGTCGCTGAGCATCTTTTGACCTAGCAAATCATGCCATGTCCAACTATATGTCAACGCTAATATTGGTGGCGCTGAAACGTTATACCTTAGCATTAATGAGGATGGTGCTGAAATCATGATCTATTTTTAGAAATACAAGTTGATCCTTGCTACCAAAGCCAACTACCATTCCTTGATCCCAAATTCGAATTCCTATATACAAGTGGTTTCTCAACAAATGGTAGTATCTCTTGATCATCTTCAACCCAACACTAGCTCATCATTTTCATTCCTTGCCAATATTATGCAGTTGAGTAAAATTCTTCCAAATAGCCTTGACCATGCTCTTCTCAATTTTTGACATTCTTGAGAAAACCTTTGATGAGAATATCTCAAGTGAAAGTTCAAGTGCTTAAACTAACACCTTCTACATATGAAATCTATTCCAAATTCCATATCCAAAGACAATACTGTGTGAGTAAGGGGGAGTTTTCCTAAATGGGTCATTTCTTAATTTGTTGCTTTGTGCTTCCAAAAAAAAAAAAGGCCGTGGGAATCTTTATTCCTTTCTGGGCTTGAGTAATTGCCTATTTTCTAGCCCTTTTTATTTTTTTTATGATCAATGCCAAAAGGGGAAGAATATTTGAGGATCCCACATTTGATCATAAAGGGAGAGAATATTTGTATCTCCATATGATCGCTATAAAAGAGGGAAATATTGTAGGATCCCACATCATAGCATCCCATATGCATCATATGCATTAGCATGTCATTGGCATATATTTGTACTTATATTAACTCATTGACATGCATGGATATAAATTAATTGCCAAGCTTTAATATAATGTTGATTTATATCCTTCATATCCAAATATGGTTATTATTAATGGATTTGTCATCAATCACCAAAAAGGGGGAGATTGTAAGTTCATGTGCCTTAATTTGGTTTTGGTAATTAATGACAAATCTAATTAATTGAGACTAATGTTTTTATGAGCTTTTCTTTGGCTAGTCTCATTTGGATATGAAAATAAAATTGATGAGAGGTATGTATTAAACTTCATATATTCTAACTTGGTCTCTCTTGTGGATCCAAAATATAGTGTGAGCTCCGTCATTGATCTTGATTGATTATGTGCATATGCGTTCCTTTATATCCATATGTATGCATATCTTAAGGGGGAGTTTATTTTATATTTTGTTTATTATAAGATCTCTAGCTTGATTTAAAATTATCGTTCATCTCATCTTTCTATATTGTTATATCCAGTTATTATCTATCACTAAAGAGAGAAAAGATTGAAAGATCTGGGATTAAACAATTTGTGTAATTGTTACTTTGGTGATAGATGATAAACCAATGTTTATGGGATTAACCTCTCTTTTTTATAAGTTGTCAACTAGGTTATTTCCCAATGATGAGATGTGGTAGATATGCATTCTTTGGTGATGGACCTTAATCATGATAAGGATGAAATGCATGGAGATAAAGCGATATGTATCACTTCTTACTCCTACCTTTTGATAGGTTCATATATATATGATTTTCATGTTATTGTTATATAAGTGTGAGACTAATGTTTACTTGAGTCTTATCTTATTTAGTCTCCTTTACATTGAGAACATGGAGATCATGAAGGTATGTGTTTTTGTTTATCATTATCATTGCTACATGCCTTCTCCATGTGTATAGGATAAACCTCATTGCTTCTTCTTTACTTATGCATACACTTGCCCCTCTTATAAATTTATTTG